CAGCAGCAAACTGGTTGATCCACTCTGAGAAGGTGCTATTTAAGAGATTGAGCTGAATACAGCACCTCAGACTGAGGAAGTCCTCAGGATGAGAGACGAAACGTTTCTACATTTTTTTTGTTTTGCTTTGTTTTGTTTTTTGAATGTCCAGAGGACCAGATTTAACTTTTTTAGATAACCAATTTTCATTTATAGAACTCATCTAAATAAAATCTGAATCAATTTCAAATCAATTTAGAATCAGGGGTCAGATTTTTATATAACTGAAAACTAACTGTAGCCCCAAAAGAACAGTTTAAAACAAAAACTGTACCAACATCTTCAAGACCGGCCGACGGGTTCTTATAGACCAGCTGACGGGTTCTTATAGACCAGCCGACGGGTTCTTATAGACCGGCCGACGGGTTCTTATAGACCGGCCGACGGGTTCTTATAGACCGGCCGACGGGTTCTTTTAGACCGGCCTACCGGTTCTTATAGATCGGCCGACGGGTTCTTATAGATCGGCCGACGGGTTCTTATAGACCGGCCGACGGGTTCTTATAGACCGGCCGACGGGTTCTTATAGACCGGCCGACGGGTTCTTATAGACCGGCCGACGGGTTCTTATAGACCGGCCGACGGGTTCTTATAGACCGGCCGACGGGTTCTTATAGTCCGGCCGACGGGTTCTTATAGTCCGGCCGACGGGTTATTATAGACCGGCCGACGGGTTCTTATAGTCCGGCCGACGGGTTCTTATAGTCCGGCCGACGGGTTCTTATAGTCCGGCCGACGGGTTCTTATAGTCCGGCCGACGGGTTCTTATAGACCGGCCGACAGGTTCTTATAGTCCGGCCAACGGGTTATTATAGACCGGCCGACGGGTTATTATAGTCCAGCTGACGGGTTCTTCAGAACCAACTGGGAGACCTCTTCAGACCCTGAACTTTCCACATTGACAGTAATCAATTTTCCTTCACAAATATAAATCTGAAAGTCTGATGTACTTTAGAATATTTTTACATAAAATTACTAAAACACTTAAAACATGGACATTTTTAAAGGAGGTTCAGACCTTCAGACCCTGAACGTGTCCCACAGTATTTTAACTAAACTTTATTATTTCTGTCAGATGCCTATTGTCTTTATCAGACTTTAAGTTATTTAAACCAACATGGCATCCCTTCATTAATATTATTTAGTTAGTAAGTTGTTTTATTACTGGTTTCATCACTTTAGGTAAAAACACGTGGGCCAGCTCTTCAGAGCAACAAGAGTTGAACTTTAAATCAAAAACTGCTTTAATAACATAAAAACTTCTTATTGTAGTTTTAAACTGCTCAAATGTGGAAAAAATACTAAATGCATCATCATTCTGTTTTTTTATGGTCACAGATTTGTTAAATAATTTACAAATCCCAAAACCTGTTTTAAAGAAAGTCTATTTATCTGGTCCAGGTTTTTAATTCAGTTTTTAATCTGGACCAGATCTAAACGGTCCAGATGCAAAGCATGCACAAAAAAAGCACAGAAACTTCTCACCAACTACATAAAGGTTTATACAGGTCACACAATGCACTTTAATAAAGAGGTATTCAAAATGTTTAAAACCTGTAAAGAAAATTTTTAAAAAGTATTTTAAACTAGAGCTGGTCTGAGGTCAAAACACCAAATCTTTAGCAGTTTTAACCTAACCCACAAATCAAAAGATCTGCTTGATGTGCTTAAATTAAACTCTAAGATTAGAGGAATCAAATCAAACCTGAAATGTAACAATTTAAACATCTATGGACCCAAATAAACAAACAAACAAACGGGAGCAAAGCTAGCATAACAGCTAATCACTAAGCTAGCGAATGCAAAAACTACCGTACAACACAAAATAGCTTCATTGTACATACAATTACGTTATGATTTAGGATAATAATAATAATAAACTTATATTTCTGTCATATAACGCGATGGTTGATGAGTAGAAGAACAAACAGACCTGAAAACGAAGAAGTTTCAGCTTCAGCTTGATCCGTGGAAGAAGCGGCTGCGCAGTGCGCATGCGCTGTGCCTGCTCCTGCCATCTCGTGGCCAACAAATGAACTGCAGGTTCTTTATTTCTTACATTCAACAAAAAATACCTTTATTATTATCAGGTGTGGACTTTAACGTGAAAATACATCAGTGGTCAATAATAAAATAATACAATAATAAAACACTCAATAATTTAAACTGTTTTCACACTAAAGTTTTTATTCTGTTTAAAGTTGTTTACTTCTGCTCGTCCAAATTATACAATACATAAAACTGTTCATGTCAGTCATAAATAGTGCCCTATCACTTTGACATGTGATTAAATTGTCCCTATAGAAATACGTTGAAATCTGGTTATTTTTCTTTAAAAACCTTTGAAATGTATTTCATGAAAGTGGTTCTGCTTCGGTCTTCTCGTGTTCCTTCTAGCTTTTACCTATGGTCGTGCTAATATTAGCTACAGTTTTGCTCATTCTTACTTTAACAAGCTGAACTTTTAGCTGCTTAAACAGTTTTCAGATCTCAATCTGACCAACAGAACCCAATGAGGACACAGGACCAATCGGACCAAGTTTGTTTAAGGATCTTTGACCGTGTGTTGCTGAAGGCTTATTTGTGGTTCCTAGAGCTATTGACATTTTCTGGCATCTCTACGTGTAAACAAGATGTTGACGTGGTTCTGGTTTGCGTTTCTCATGTTATTAAATATTTCAGGATGTACAGACTCGGCCGGTTTTGGCATCAAGACTTTATTCACACACCGAGCCGGGTCGTAGTTCCCACGGGTCAGGTGACCGGTTGGACCAGAACGAACCGTCCATTCGTCCAGCAGAGAACTCTGTCTTTCTGAGTCCATTCCAACTGGACTGCACCGGTTCCGTTAAAAGAAATCCTTTAAACATTTATAAATACATTCAGACTCAATCAGGAGCAGACAGAACCGCAGAGCAAAAACTGGGTCTGGAAAAAACTGGATTCACACAGGAAGGAGGACCTCTGCGGTCTGAACACATGGAACCGGTTCCATCAGTCACAGATCAGCTCAGTTTAAAGGACAGAACCTTTGATCGGATCTGTGGAAGGAACAGAACCAGGGATGAAGATGAGCGTGATGAAGGTGAGTGTTCAACACCAAAAACGGGAGCAGTCCTGATGACATCATCGCTGAGTCCATTTCTGATTGGTCCATAACAAGTTCACTTTAGAGCTCCGTGTTGCATTGTGGGAAGTGCAGTCAGTTTGACTGCAGGCTCTGCGGTCATGGAAGCTGTTGGTCGCCATGGTAACCAAAAAGAAACAAAGCAGGTCGGATGTGACGTCAGCAGTGATGTCACAGCGCCGTGACGGCAGAAACGAGTTGTTTAACGTCTTCAGGGACGGTGGGACAAATTAAATATAAACACAACACTGAGGAGGAGGAGGAGGAGGAGGAAGATTTGTGTCTGTTTGTTAAAAGATGTTAAATTAAAGATAAATGATCAGAATAAGGTTGGGACAAAAACATTAAAGATGTGGTAAAACAATAAAGCAAATATTAATAAATATAGGTCATTGTTTTAGTTTGTTTTTACAGAAGACAGAATATTTACACGTTATAAATGAGACATTTTCTGTCATAACAAACATTTTACTTTAGTTTGAACTTGAAATATTTCAGAGTAAAGTGATGTTACTTTTTTTCTTGTGATAATCAGTTCAGGTGTTTTTATCAGGTTGTATATTATGATGTAAAACGTCATTCAAGGATAAACATCTATCAGACAGAAAAAATACTAAATTTATTAATTTTACATCAGAGGAAACGATAATAAATACTGAAACATTATTATAGCCAGAGTTTTACTCTTCCTTTAGCTCCTCCTCTCTATCTGACCCCTCCCCCTCATGGCCCCTCCCCCTCAGGCCTCCCTGCACAGAGCAGGAGCAGGAGGAAGAGGAGGAAGAGCAGCTGATGAAGAGTCTACTCAAGCAGATGTGTTTGATGTCGCAGATATTCCTGAAGCTCCTGATTGGCTGAAAGGAAGGTGAGGGCGTGGTCATCAGCTCTGAGATTCAGTCAGGCGGCTGTGGGCGGAGTCTGGAGCCAGATTCAGCCAATCAGGTGACTTAGCCCTTCCAGCCGTCCCAGATTGGACCTCTGGACACAAACAGAACCAGAAGATTTAGAGTTGATCAGAACATTCAGAGTCTGTGTCTCACTTTGAGTTTTAGAGACACAGAGACACTCAGAGACACTCAGAGACACACAGAGACACTCAGAGACTCAGAGACACAGAGAGATGCTCAGAGACACACAGAGACACAGAGACACTCAGAGACACACAGAGACACTCAGAGACACAGAGACACAGAGAGACGCTCAGAGACACACGGAGACACTCAGAGACACACAGAGACACTTAGAGACACACACAGATGCTCAGAGACGCTCAGAGACACAGAGAGACACTCAGAGACACACAGAGACACTCAGAGACACACCAAGACACAGAGAGACACTCAGAGACACTCAGAGAAACAGAGACACTCAGAGACACACAGAGACACAGAGAGACGCTCAGAGACACTCAGAGACACGGAGAGACACTCAGAGACACACCGAGACACACCGAGACACAGAGAGACACACAGAGACACTCAGAGACACAGAGACACTCAGAGACACACAGAGACACAAAGAGACACAGAGAGACACAGAGAGACACTCAGAGACGCTCAGAGACACTCAGAGACACAGAGAGACACTCAGAGACACAGAGACACACAGAGACGCTCAGAGAGACAGAGACACAGAGACACTCAGAGACACTCAGAGACACACCGAGACACAGAGACACTCAGAGACACACAGAGACACAGAGAGACGCTCAGAGACACTCAGAGACACGGAGAGACACTCAGAGACACACCGAGACACACCGAGACACACCGAGACACAGAGAGACACACAGAGACACTCAGAGACACAGAGACACTCAGAGACACACAGAGACACAAAGAGACACAGAGAGACACAGAGAGACACTCAGAGACGCTCAGAGACACTCAGAGACACAGAGAGACACTCAGAGACACAGAGACACACAGAGACGCTCAGAGAGACAGAGACACAGAGACACTCAGAGACACAGAGACACTCAGAGACACTCAGAGACACACAGAGACACAGAGACACACAGAGACACAGAGAGACAGAGACAAAATGTGAACAGACATGATTGTTAAACTGTGTCTCTTGAGTTCAAAACTGTAGATGATAAAATATTAAAGTTTTTCTCCTGAGCTGCAGCAGAAGCAGAGTTTGAGGTTAAAGTTGGTTAAAAATGAAGAAACGTTTCAGCTTTGGGTTTCATTCCAACACTGAGCGCACAAACAGGCTTTCATCTGCGGTGTGTCTGGGTCATGAACATCTGGATGCAGAACATCTGGAGGATTCAGTGCAGAACGAAGCCTAAACTTGTCGCAGGAGTCTGAAACATTTACGCAGGAAGCAGCGTGCAGGAAACATGGAGGAAGACTCACAGGGTTCGAGACGACGAAGGTTTCTTGACTCGCGGCCACTTCCTCCTCTCAAACAGCCTGACGCAACAAACACACACACAGAGTTACACACAGAGTTACACACAGAGTTACACACAGAGTTACACACAGAGTTACACACAGAGTTACACACAGACACACCGCCTGCAGCCAGCAGCTCCGTCCGGTTATCATGCAGCGTTCAGAGTCACCGTGAAAGTTCAGGTGTGTGTGTTCAGGTGTGTGCATGTTCAGGTGTGTGTATGTGTGTACCTGTAGTCATCAAAGCTGCCATCGGCCCGCCCTCCTGACAGAAGACACAATCTGATTGGTTAATGAGAACAGGTAACAACTCCAGAACAGACAAGGCTGAGAACAACAGAACTACAGTTAACGAAGGTCACCTGAACGCACCACGAAGAAACCGTATAAGAATCAACAACAAAGGTTAAATCGTGTCATCTGGACCACTTTCTTGAAGTGAGAAATGTTTCGTCCCATATCCAGAGGACTTCCTCAGTCTATGACCTGCCAACCAGATCTGTCGCATAGGTAGGTCTGTCACAATAACAAGTTTTCCTGGGCGATTAATTGTCTCAGAAATCATTGCGATAAATGATAATATTGTTTGAAATTTGACAATAATTACTAATTATTGTCAAATTTAAGAAGAAACGTTGAATTTCTTTTTGTGTAGTACCTTTTTTGACCACTGCAAAGCAGTATAAGACTGATTGAACCATCCTTCCATCATCTATTGTCTTTACCCGCTTCTTCCATTTTGGGTCACCGGAGTCGCCGGTGCCCAAGTCCAGCCATGACTGTGCGAGGGGCGGGGGACACCCTGGACAGGTCTCCAGTCCATCACAGGGACACATAGAGACAAATGAGACAAACAACCATTCACTCTCTCTCTCACACCTAGAGATAATTTAGAGTTACCAATCAGCCTAACATGCATGTTTTTGGTCTGTGGGAGGAAACTCGCGCATGCACGGAGAGAACATGCAAACTCCACCCAGAAAGGCCCCCGGACGGGGATTTGAACCGGCAACTTTCTTGCTGAGAGGCAGCAGCTCTACCAGCAGCTGTGCCACCATGCTACCCGTTTGAACTGAAGGATGGATAGTGAGCGAGCGAGCAGCGTGTCTCTAAGAACAATGTGAGGGAGGCCCCTTGACGTGACATGGGCTGTCTCTCTTCAGTTCTCAAAATGGCGGACGCTCAGTGTGGTTTGAGCTCTTTAGCATTTTTCACACAAAGCTTTTAACAAATAATCAGTAAACAAGTTCTCAGATTATTTTTGCAGAGAAAAACAACTTTTTACACGAAGGCACGGGTTTCAACCGTTAATATTGGAGCTTCGACAGGACGGAGGTTTTTTCCCGAGGTCGGCCTGTTAGCTTAGCTCGTAGCTTAGCTCGTAGCTTAGCTTCTCAGCTTAGCTGCTTTTAAAATCCAAAAACACAATTTTGGACGTTAAACCAAATTTTAAAGAGAGCAGAGAAAGGGAGGGGTCAGTGAAGAACACCTGAGTTGAGTCTTTTGTCTTCCAGTGTCTTCAGTAGAAAGAGAGACACGAAGAAACGATGAAGCTGATGAATGAAAATGAGTTTGATAATTTAACCACAATAAAAATATTTTGTATCCGTACGTGGGGTGAAGCTGTGGAATGGTTTAATCATGAAAATCAAGCAATGTCCAAACATTAAACAGTTTAAAAAGTCATTAAAGAAGATGGTCATCACTGAATATCAATATGGAAATAATGTCTGTTATTACTGCTATTATCAATGTTGTTAACAAATAATGAATTTATCAATTATTACTGCATTCTGGTATATTGATCTAAAATAATTTTAACACGTTAAACAAATTATTGATGCTTGATCATAATGGCATGCAAATATGAATGCAGTGTACCAGTTATAGATATGGATATCTAAGATACTAAAACAGAAAGTTATAACCAAGTTACCATGAATAGTAAATTATTGGGTGATGCTATAGATGTGGGGGGGGGGGGGGTAACAGTAAGTTCATACTTCTACCCACTGCTTTGAACGTACTGTTGTTGTTTCTGCTTGCTTGTGTTTTAAATTTATTTTCTTCGTCTATAACTTTGTTTAATATTTTATTATACTACATTCAGTTAAACTCAACTCAGATTGTCATTTATCGTGCGATGACTTGATTTATTGTTTACCACGACAGGCCTAGCCACAAGTAGCCTGTGTTTCAAGACAACCTCCTGCTGGAGTCTCTGAAGGTTTTAACACGTGCCAAAGGAACATCCGTCCAAAACCATCATCATCATGAACAACAATCAAATGCTTTAGGCCAGACGGCCACTTGCTACTCTCAGTGCTTCAGATGGTTGTAAGCTCCGTCATCCAGGTAGGTAACGACAACAAAGGCTACATCGTGTCATCTGGACCCGTTTCTTTAAGAGAGAAACTTCACGTATGTACCGAGAGACATGCGTGTATCTCTGTTATGTAAATGTATCAGAATCACGGAACAGCAGCAGAAACAGTTTTTACAGCAACAAAAAGATTTCATATCGTCCAACACAGAAACGATGACGTTCTAAAACAAATCTAATCGTCATGCAGACCTGAGGTCAGCAGAGTTAGCTAACTGAACCACCGGTACTTCCTTTACCGAGTGTTTGTGCACGAGCGTGTCTTTATGCAGACGATGCTCTGCTCTATTGGAACAGAACAAGTTTGTAAAAACAGAACCATCTCTGCAGGAAAAGCTCCGGTCTGAGATGTGAGCGATGTGAGCCATACCCAGGTCCACGGTGTGCGTGCGAGGGTTGCACTGCTTGTGTCCCCTGCAGCCTCTGAGCTCCATCAGCTGGACGTGCAGCTGGTTCAGAACCGTCCGGTCCAAAGAGCTCACGGCGTTTATCAGCTGCAGACACAGATTAAAAGGTCACGGCTCAGTTTCAGGTAGTTCGTGTTCACTCCCAGGAACTGGTTCTGTGTACCTGGTACGGGTCGGTGCTGAGGTCGAAGTACTCCAGGAAGCCGGTGGCGAACTCACAGAACAGGAAGTTGTGGGTCTCGTTGATGGTCCTCAGGCACCAGTATGTGTTGTTGTTGGCACTGGTGCAGGCGCAGAACGATCCCACTGGAACACACAAACATTCACATCATTCACCCGGACCACGACCCTTAACCCAACACTAAACGAATAAACCTAATCCTACAGAATGGACCCTAATCCTTCAGGATTAACTCTAATCCTACAGGACTCATCCAGCCCTAAAGGATGAACCCTGACCCTATAGGATTAATCCTGGCCCTGAAGGGTTAGCTCCAGCCTTGAAGAATTAACCAGACCCTACAGGATTACTCGACCCTTCTGGATTAACTCGGATGAAAATCCCTCATCCGGTCTGAGGCTGGTTCTGACCCTCCACCTAGTGGTCATAAGTGGTTCTGCACGTGGAATTTTAAAACGGTGATGTCATGAAGACGGTCGTCATGGAGATGCAGGTGTGTTTGTTTGTCTCGTACGTGTCCAGAAGGGTGCCGTGTGCCAGTGCTGGTTGTCGTGCGTGAAGCAGGTGAGTCCCGGCATCGAACAGGTGTCGTTGTTTTTGATCCTCTTTATTATCTTCCTCATCTTCTTCCTCCTCCTCTGCTCCTTCTGAAGCCACGCCTTCTCGTCCCGAGACCCACCCTTCCTGCTCAAACACATGCAGGTGAGCTGTTCAGCGAGGAAGCCCCGCCTCCTTGTGTCAAGCCCCGCCTTTCATTTAAAGTAAAGGAGATTTTAAAGGGGACGCCAGACGTTTCTGTCTCACCTGAAGGGATGAAGGACTCCTCCTCCTCCTCGGTACCTGAGCTTCTTCTTCATCTTGTCTTTGTACCTGAACACACACACACACACACACGGCGTGTCACACGACATCAGGCGTGCTGTCAGCCCTCAGGTGTTGTGACTCACAGATACTTGTTGCAGTCACACTGCAGGGGGCGGGACTTCTTCAGGTGACCTCTGACCTCTCTCAGGTTGTTGATCCTCGTCTGCAGCGTCTCGATCTGACGGAAGAAAATAAAACCAGACCTGAAGCGGATGGATTCTGTCCTTCGGTCCGTTTACTGGTTCTGAACGTGTCTCAGAACCGGTGCTCGGACTCGGCAGGTACCTCGTGGTCGATGTGCAGCTTGTGGTCCTTCCAGGCCTGCAGAGACTGGTAGACTCCGGTGTCACACGTCACCGTGGTGTTGGACAGGATGGAGCATCTGCAGGGAAACGCCATGTTTTTACTGGGACCAGAACCAGAGGCATGTGATGAGGCGACTACATGATCGCCCATCTGTGGGCGACCTGGATCATCTCTGACCTGTGAGTTACTTTGACGGAGCTCGACGGAGAAGCTCCTCCCATCCCGCTGAACTCGTCCTCAGGCTCGTCGCTCATTGGCCAACCCTGGCCGACTCCGCCCACCAGACTGCGGTTACCGTGGTAACTGTTCATCTCAGTCAGAGAGCGGCTGAAGCGGTTCTTCAAGTATTTCTTCAGAGTTCTGAATTCTGACAGAAAAAAAAATTCACAGCTTAGGAGAGTTCTCACTGAGTGTCCACCAGAACCTCCAAGGTCCGGTTCGGATCAGGACCACCTGAGGGCAGCATCACACAGCAGAAAGTCTTTGGTTAGATTATCAGTAAAATAACTGAGTCTTTGCAGTACAAGCTGCTTTATGGCAGGCTGTTGTAGCATTTAACTGAATGTCTCTAGTTACATTTGACAGTTTCTTCCAGCCACGGTGACGTTCTCACATGTTGGATTAAAACATGAACCTTTACTGGTTGAAGTTCAGGAGACGTGGACGCTCAGATGAACGCAGCTGCTGCTCGTTTGATTCACATCCAGTTCTTATTGTCCAAAATATTTGTGTTTACATTAAATCTGGTTTTTATTCAATTTGTGTTGTCTCAAACTGCTTAATATTAAAGCTGGATGTTCTGAAGGTTGAGGGTGTTGCTCCGGTTGGTCGTGATGAAGAAAGAGCTAACACAAAATGTTGTGCTGCAGACTAACACGACCCAAACACTAAACCTTTATCACGAGCAATGAACTCTGTGCTGGGGTCAGCAGGTCTCCAGCTCGTGTCTCCAACTCGTGTCTCCAGCTCATGTCTTCATCTTGTGTCTTCATCTTGTGTC